TGGCAAGATTAAACAACAATTACAAAAATTAAAAGAACAAGATTATAGTTATGAAGATAACTCTCGTAATGATACACATCACTATATAACTAGTTATTTGGGTTTAACAATCGCCATTATCAGTTTTGTGCTCATCATTAGATTTTTAATAAAATTCAAAAATGCAACTATTAATCAACAAGCCACAATAGCTCCAGCTACTTCAAGACAGCAATATCATCTTGATGCACTAGACATCAACGCGGGGGAGAATGTTAATTAATGCAGCCAACTGTACTTTTTTATCATAAAAAAAAATAAAAAATATAATATTTCTTAAAATAATCTAAAATTAGTATTGTTAATACAAAGTCTTTAAATGTGGTAAAAAGGATATATTGTGATTTAAAACTATACATTTTTTGTTGTAGCAGGTAGTAAAATGTTTTTAAATGATCTGAAAATAATCTAAAAATAATTTGAAGATGCACATGTTTTTTATTTTTATTGCTTAGCCTTATTTTTGAAGATAAGGATAATAAAATAGTAGGTAAACTTGAAATGGCATAAAAGATAAAGAATATTTTGAATATACATACAAAGTTAAAATACAATCAATTTAATATTTGTTATTTATCACATTATAAAAATTTCCAAAATAATAAAAATAAATTTAGTAAGAATTATGTATCTAATTACTATTAAGAAAAAGAGTGGGAGAAATATGTAATATAAATTTTTTGTATATAAACCATAGATTTAAGGAAATAAAGAGAGTTAAAAATTTAGAATACAGAAGACACACTTCTTTTAAATTTTGACAGAGAATTATTATTGTTATTAAACGCAGGAATCCTAGTTTAATACTATAATAATTACTTGTGACGAATTTCAATTTAGAACACGCCAGCTATTTATTTTCGAGACAGAAAATCATTATTTCATTGAACGTAGGAATCCTAGTTCTTTGTTGTAATAATTATATGTGACAAAATAAAATCAGCGAGTACAGGAGACAATAATTTTTAAGGAAAAAATTATAATACTTTACAGCGATAAACGCCGATCTATCCAAGTTTGGCACTACTGCCGATTTGGAGAATCTTCAGTTTTAAAAAGAAAAACAAGATGTTTGTAGTTTCGATTCAAAACTTTGATTGTTTATTTTAAAAACTTATTCTACTATTTATACTAAATTCTTATTCTAAATTTACTTTAAATTGTTATTGTAATATTTACAATATGTTTCTTAAAATCTAGGTTTCTAGTTAATTATTTCTATTTCCTGGAAAAGAAAGTGCAATTCATATACCTTCATTCACTCATTACTTAAAATTACGTCAAACAATAATAATGACTGAAAATGCATAGGCTTGCATTTTTCATATTAACATTATGCATACCGCTTTATACTCTAATGTATAATATAAACATAAAGGTATGCATTGTTGTTATACACATCATAAAGTGTAAGCGAAACATATGTTCACCATATGATAATATGCCGCTTGTTTGCAAGTAATGAAATTTTAAACCGTTTAGGTAAGCAATGTATGTATGCTATGAATATATTATGGTAATGTACGTATATCGTGAATAGGTAGGTATATAGTAATGTATGTAATTAATGTATGTATATTGTATATGCACTACACAACTGGGGTGAAGATTTCTTACCATGACTTTTATTGGTCTGGCCTGCTTGTTCTCATAGGTATGCCATTCTAGTCCAGATCCATTCATGGCCCTGGTAAGATTCCTGTAGTCCATTTCGGAATTTACAATAAGCTTAAATTGATTGTTGTTCATCATTTTCACCTTATAATTGATGTCCTTATTTTTAATGTTGACTCTATTTTATTGTAGTCAACCACATTACTTATGACTACTGGAAGCGGCCTAGAGTTTTTCGTGACATTGCCTCGACTTTTAGAATCAGGAACATCCGCTTTCTCAGCGTTGGTCGTCACCTGAACTACTTCCGGAGATGATTCCGCTTTTCTTTTTTTACTGGACCTCTTTTGCTTTAGGATCCAATCCGTTTCTCTGGCGAGTTCCTCCTCATCTGTTGAGTAGGCGTCCAAGACTGACCTCACCTGCTTTGCTCGTGGTGCAGCGTCTTTTTCTTTATGGCTGCCCACATTAGACTTATTGTTTGTAATTTGTGTATGCTTCTCTTTCTTTAGCTTCTCATTTTCAGCCCTCAGTTGAAGAACCTCGCTTTTCAAAGCCACACAGAGCTGTTCCAGTTGGCTAATCCTTTTGTGTATGTCAGCATTCTGATCATCACTTTCTTTGTCTTGAGCTTTACTCATGTTTATATCCTTATTGGCCTGTGGAGCTTGAATGTTCGGTAGTCCACCTTCTATATTTCTATTCTTTTCTAAAATCCGCACATCAGATGTAGGTGGTGAACGCCGGGTTTTCGCGTTCCTCCTGAACGGATCAATCAAATGCAATAAATGGCTCTCCCCAGAACCCGTAGAGCCGACCTCCGAAGATGGTGGATTCTCCAACGTAGTTGAATTACCACCTGGGGTACTAAATCCTTTTGTTTTGTCTATTGCACACATGATTAAATTCTGCATTTTATACCTACTGCCAGGATTCAAAAACTGCCGTCCCTCAGGGATCAGACGCAGACCAGGGAGCCGCCTATTCTAGGTCAGACGCTTCTGGATTTACCACCCGCGCGCTTCCTAACCAACGATACCCGGATTAAGCGCCGAGTACTCGCTTTCACCCGCTCTCGTCAGCTTTACTAAGTAAGTTGCCCAGGAGACACCCGGCAGATAACTATGTTACCTACCTTCTAAGAGGTGAGAGTCGGATTTGTTGGCAGAGCTGATGTTTTCAGAGAGCATTTCCTAGCATTTTCAGTTTCACATGTTAGGAAAATGTGAGACTGACTAGGACCCATGCCAACTTTTGTCCCCTAAATTGAAATTAAAATTTTATTTATAAATATAATTTATCTTTTGATTTTAATTTTAATTTCAACAATTTGTATTTGAAATTCCGCAACCTATATACAATTTAAGCAAGAACAAATCATTAAAACAGATATTACATCTGTTACATCAGATTTAATTTAAAAACCATGGATCTAAATCTTACAATACATGGATATATCTGGCAAATAATAGTTTTTGAAGCCAACATAAAATATGTTGTTATAAAATGTTGAAAAATATGTTGTCAAAATTAAAACAAATTATGTTTACTTAATATTTCTATATATTATTGCTTTTGTGTATTATATTAAATTATTGACCGGAAAACAAAGTAGTTTGAAAGAAAGACATATCACGAAACAAAGTCACTGTACATGATGTGCATGTGATATAACTCTCCACAAAAACATTGTAATTTTTATAGACAAGCTAGTATAATAAAGCACACTCAATGAATTTTTAAATTTCATTGATTACAGTTATATCAGGGTACAGTCGTCTTGGGAAACCGAAAATCACCGTAAGTACCGTAAAATACTTAAAGCGTACCTGCTTTAAACGAATTGTTGTTGCAATTATTTAGAACAAAAAAGTAATTACTATTAAGAAATAATTTTTGCGTCTACCTGTATAGTTATAACTAACATCTTTACAGTGCATTATAGCATCTTATAAACTCTTCATTTTTATAAAACTTATAAGAATTCAATCGCTAATTAAGTTTTGTATTCATTTATCGTTGTTGTTAAATAATTTTAAAATATTTGTATATGTAACAGATAAAGTTTTAAAAGGAGAAATTAAATATGTGTACAAAAATAGACAATTTCAAAGATGTTTAAAGCAAAATATTTAAGCAGCAAAAAATGTGAAACAGTGAAACTTGAAACAAAAAATATAGTATGTCTATATGTTTTTTGGAAAGAAAACTAATATTTTTAGAAAATTACTTTACTGGTAAAGCCGACTTCATTATTTTACTACAAAATAACATTGAGTTTTTTCAGAAAATTTTTCTTCGTAATATTCGCAAAAAAAATCTAAATTTATATATTTTTCACTTTTACGAAAAAAAAATTTAAATAATAACTTAAAGTAGTCTACAATTTGGCTGCATTGAAAACAAGACACTACACTACAGCAATGCTAAAATTTGGTAAAAAATAAAATTTGACATTGGCAATTTAACGCGAAGTTACGCTGACAAACTTATATGAGAGTGTAACTTTATGTTGGCTTTATTTCTTTTACTAAGGATTATATGAACGGTGGCTATCAAGTATTAATAGACCCATGTCAATAACTTATGTTTTCTAAATTACAAAAATTACTACAGTCAAAAAATTATTGACGAAAATAGAATCAACTTATATTTTTTTGTCAATCAAAAGTTTGATCAAAATGATTGATTGAAGTTATTTACATGGTCAATCTTCATGAACCTCAATCATGATGGTCAATTGACTTGTAAATGCTGATTTACATTTATAACCAATATACGTAATGTAGTCAATTTATGTATATGCATATACATAATAAATAACAACATACAATTGATTTTTAAGCATTACAAATTTGTAAAAGTAAAACTTTTAGTAATAATTGAAAATCTATAATTATGCGAAAAATATTTTTAATATTTTAGTTGAATAACTTAAAAAGGAGCAATTAAACGCCCTTAATATTATTTCTCTTATAACATACGAAAATAAGAATAGAAAAATAACTACTAAAAAGTAATTCCAATTTTCAATCAGGGTTTTCTACCAAAAGTTTAAACTTTATTTTCATTTTGTAACTTGGTAAGTTCATATTTGTTTTCCTAACTTTTCTGTTAGTTCTAAAATTCTTGTCATGTGCATGACAAGTGTATCATGAAAATTTTTCATACAAGAGCTGAAAAAATGGTACAAAATGATCACCGTAGCAGGACGGTGCAGTTTACGAATTTAAAGAAGTTTTCTGTTTTCCTATTTAAAATTTTTAAAACTGTAACCAATCTGTATAATTTCACTTGCTAAAAACATATAAACTAAGTTATAATAATGATTTTTTTTTTCATCACAGGTTTGCACTGGAATTATAAATGGGCAGCGTTTGACAGCTGATCAATACAGAGCATGCATTCGTTCAAGAGCTTTAAATGAAGCATCACATGCCCAATTGGGATTTCTGGCTTTTCGGGATGATATTGCTGCAGACAGTGGGAAACATATTCCGTTATCAGTAGTTAAAAATTTAAACATAAAAAACTATGCAGTATCAAATTCATCTAAAATTATAGAACCGTTAGAAAACACAACGCAAAAACAAGTGAAGAAAAACACTTGATCGTTTGTTTTGCAACAAGAAAGTTTTTGGAAAGTTGAATTTTGAAAGCCTAAAAATTTCTATTCACACACAAAATGCTTAGATTTAATTGAATATAGGTACATTTTACTAAATTAAAATTATAATATAGGAGAAATTACTATGAGGAATTTAATATATTTAATAAGAAAGTATATACATACATATAAACGTGTTCACATATATGTGCATAAGTATGTGTGTGTAATGTGCATGTGCAAGATCACCTTAATGTTGGCTACATATTTAATACTGTTAATATTTGGTTGAATTCGCATTTGCAGTTTTAACCAAAGTATTTTATTTAATAAGTAATTCTACTCGTTCCAAGCCGTTAGTTTTCGTTTGCTTGCCACCTCCACTATCCTCAAAATATTTCATTTTTATTAAGAAATAGATAGGTAATAAGAGTTGTGTAGCAAAGAAAGAAACAAAATATGGTAAACAAACGAGTTTATCAAAAATAGTCAACTCAAATAAAATTAAATTAAATTAAAAATTTTGTTATTTTTATTTTGCTAAAAACAAAATTTATTTTTCATAATATGTATTTTATTTTTCATTTCATAAAAGTTAGATATTGTTATCTTGTACATATATATATAACGGTAGATACAGGTTATTTTTTTTTTTTTGAAAATTTTTTTTAATAATGTTTTTCACTTATTATTTTCTTAACATTCCTTTTTAATTTTCTTAAAACTTCAATCAACTATTTTAATATTTATACTATACCCCATAGGTTCTCTCGAGTTTTCTAAAAATTATATTCACAAATTCCAAATGTTTTTCCCGTTTACTCCTACTGTTACTACTTATTAATTATTTTATTATTAGTTTTGTTTTTGAATTAGTTTGGAAAATTATTTAGAAAAACCAGATTTTTTTTTATAAAAAAAATTAAATCTTAAAATTAATAAAATTAATAAAACTTAATCTGATTCTAAAAAAGTAAAATAAAAACTTATATTGGAAATAATATTCCTTTCAATTTGGTAATAATCATATCTTGTAATAAAATCATTATTGTTTATTTTATAGTTTTGCGGATATAAATATAGTTTTTTATCAGTTGAATATCTATTTATGCATAAAGAAAATAATTGGCATATTATTTTCATTTTTTAAAATCTTTAACTTATTTCTATCTAAATAAATAAATGCCTGCGATGTTATAAATTATATATTTTTAATAATCATCATCTTCATATACTAAATCTTAGACCAAACCATTTTATATCAGACTCAATTTACTGAAATAACTACATACTATTTTACTTTATAGGATAGATATGTACTTATGTACATATTTTTTTCTCTTTCATAATGAAATGAGTGATAATAATATATTTCATATTTTGTATAATTGTGTGTACATATTAATATTAATATAATTGGACATTTCATATTTAATAACAATGAAATAATTTTATTACACAAACAAACATTAATATTCTCTTATTTTCCCTTTTTGTATGAGTTGGAAATGTATTAATTCATGTAAGGAAGAGGTAAAGAAATTAAAATTGCAAGTATATATGATAAAAATAAACTAATTATTAATATTTATTTAAGAACATCTTTGATTCCAGTTTATCATAATGTTACACTTTTTTTACTTTTTTTTTTAGAGGTAGCAGGTATTTAAAAAAGGTTTCGGAGATAAAATTATGAATAGGTGTTATAATGTGGTGTTCACTCTGGTACGCGTATTTGTTCAAATTATTTTTGATTCTACCATGGTACTCAAAATTTAATGCAAATGTTATTTTGAAGCAGGCATCAACAATAATTATTAATTATTAATTTTCAAAATTAATATTTTTTAACTTGTTTATATCTTTTAGTATTAAATTTTCATCTTGAAATACGAATTTTATTTTTAAAACTTTGATTAATTTCTTTTTTATCGGTTTTATTTTCAAATTTTCAGTTCTTAGAAGCTAAAATGTAGTAAAAACATACAAAAAAATCTGATGTGGTCAGCACATAACCGACCGCATTGTGTGTTGTCTAGTTAAATGAAAGTGTTACAGAATATTATAAAAATGTCTGTTAAATACTTTTTTTCAATTTTTAGGACTTTAGTAAGCTCATAGTTAATATACCTAGAAAAATGTAAATTTGGCTCTTAGTAAAATTTCTCTTTGTGCTACCCGAATTCCCTGAAATGCTCGCCAGTAAGTTTCGGTAACAACCAGAACTCAAATATCAAATTTCAAGAAATTCCATCAATTCGTTCCGTAGATATGGTGAAAAATGTAAAATCGGCCCGCACATCAGTTTGCGAGCCCTGATCTTTCCAAAAAATTTATATGTTCATTGCTTTAGTATGAGGAATTCATATATTAAATTTTAATGAAATCGGTTGATTATTTCTCTTTATATACACAAAAGTGTATGTTTGGCCCGTAGTAAACGTCTAGTTGCCGATGCCTGATCTTTCCAAAAAATTTTCATGTTCATTGTTTTAATATGAGGAATTCAAATATTAAATTTCAATGAAGTTGGTTGATTATTTCTCTTTATATACACAAAAATGTATATTTGGCCCGTAGTAAACGTCCAGTTCCCGATGCCTGATTTGCTCCAAAAGCTAGGAATTTTCACGGACGGTCGAGCAAAGCTCATATATGAAATTTCAAGTAAATCGGTTGAATATTTTCTTCAAAATGGTGAAAAATGTAAAACAGGCCCGGTAAAAAGTGCAGTTCCCGAGGCCTGATATATACCAAAAGTTGATCGATCCGTGCCATGGTAGAAATAAACTTACATATAAAATTTCATCAAAATCGGTTCAGCCGATCTTGAGATACACGCGTGCACACACAGACCGACAGACCGACAGACCGACAGGTTGCTAAAAATAGTCTACTTACACTTCCTCCTTGTAACGGTATACCAGCGGCTACAAAGGTTTTTTTGTTTCAATGATATTCAAGTGCAAAGTCAAAATTTGTTAAAAACTTTTTTTATAAATTTTCTTTTAATCGTCATTTACTCATAATTCCACGTTATCAACCTATCATTTTTTTTACAGGAAGAAGAGCCCTATATTCTGACCTTCATTTTGATATAACATAATGTGGGGAAAATTTTAGATATAACATATCTATCACTATCAGGCGAAAACTCAGGCCAAAACCTTAGAAAATTAACTAAAACAAAGTATTTTTCAAACGAAAACAATTTTTTTTAATCTTTACTACGAAGTATTATGCATTATCAATATTTACTTTTTCTTTTGCCAAAATGAAAGACATTTGCATTACCTTTATTTCTCCATAAAGTATTTTCAAAAGTTTCAGGAATATCGTGTCTACGAGGATCAAACTTATAAAAAAACAAAAAAACGAGATTTTTCTCGACAAATTTGTTATAAGTATTATTCACCCTCTGATCTTCTGTGTATTTTGATATTATTCTAAAAATTCAATTATTGATCTTCAATTATAGTTAATGTGGAAAATTTTGATTTTCATATTTTTTAATTTAAAAATTATTCACACGTCCGCTCGCGCTAAATTCCTAAACAAAACTGTTCTTGTTAGCTCTAAATCGTCAAACTTTGTAAAAAAATGTATAAGCTAACTTATTTCACATAAGTACATAAGTGCGCTATACAAAATCACCAAAATTCTATCATGGATTTACAAAATGATGTACATACATACAAAATTTTGCTACAAAACAAAGCTAAAACTGACATTTTTGTTCGACAGGATTTGCTAGTTATGTTAAATTTATGCAACTAAAATTATAATTTGAAATATAAGTACTACTATAATCTAAATCTGAAATGATCTTCTGTAATGAAGTTTTTTTTAAATAATGGTCAAGAAATTTACTAGTAATGCATCACGTATTTTTTAGTCGTAGAATTTATTAAAGATTTAAAGTCGCTTTGCAATATTTAGCTTTCGAGTGAGTTTAAAAGGTACCTATTTATACAATACTCCTTGCTATAGGTAAACCTATACATAATATATTTGAGAGAAGCAGTTTCGCATACTGCTGCTAGATTAATATTTTTATGTTAAAAATGAATGTGTAATCCTCAAAATTTGAGTCTATAGAGCTTCTTTTTACTGCTAACAAAATATCTATATTTCCTACAACAACTTTCTTATTATGCATTTCAGTTAATATTTTCTCTTTTACTTCCAAACGCTTACAATATAACGGTTTACACTATGTTTACATACATATATTTACTTAGTCTTGTATAATTACACGACTAAGATAATATTATTTGTAAGTTCAACACCACTTTAATATTATTTTAGAAATACTCGAAAACTAAAATATAGCGTGAGCTATTTTAATAATAAGGTCAATATTAATAAAAAATTGGTGTCATGAATTCGAATGGTAGTGCCATTCAACTGCTACAATGAGAAATTGGTACACATTTATATATTTACGTTAATTTTCGATTTGTTAACCCGTTTTTGCTCAAGAAAAAAAGAATATTTTGCTACAAAACATAGCTAAAATTGTCATTTTTTGTAGACCAAATGTTAGAGAGTTTAATTGAAAAAACTTCTTGTTGCTTAGATTGAAGTTAATTAATTTATTTATTAAAAATCTGATCTATTTATACAAAAATAATACTACTTAAAATTAATTATTTCCCACAGAAATAGACTAGTAAGCAATTTTATGCATTTATAAAATTCATAATTTTCCCATGTTAACTTAACGCATTTATCATATAGGTTTCAAATATACTTAAAGTAAAATTAACAAACAAAATATACATATGTAATTTGACTCCTACTAAAATATTGTGAAAAAGTTATGTTTGGGAAAATATTTACATTAACAAAAAAAATGTTTGCACATACATGTAATAATCAGTTTGACAAATTAGCAATTTTAGCAATTTTGGTAATTTAAATAAATTGAAAAATAATAATAAGAAATTTAGAATTCAAAATAATTGTTGTTACGCAACATTCTCCCTTTCAAGGGCAAGCGAGAAGTCTTGAGCCTTCTTCTGTCTGTAGATTTTTTGACGTTCAATTAGTTCTTCTATTACTGGCCTTATAGGAATCGAAGTTGGGTTAATAGTAAACTTGCTTTGTTTGCTTACTTTTGATAATTTATGCAAGGCCGCGCATTTTCTAGATGTTTTGTTCTAGTCGCGGTATTGAAAGTTTTTGCGAAAACGACGCCAACTTTGTTTTGGGGGTGATTAATGTTGATTTATAAATTTATAACCGTTTTATATACTACTCCGGCATATGCTCTACCAGAAGCGTCACAGAACCCATGAAGTTCAAGTGGTTTGGTTGAAGTGTAGAAAAGCCACCTTTGAACTTTTACATAATCTATAAATTGCAATTGGTTGCGAAAATTGATGTATTTATCATGTAGACGTGACGGTAATAGCTCATCCCAATCAATATTTTTGTTTCATATGTCTTGTAGAATCATTTTTGCGGCTAATACAACTGGTGCTAGCCACCCAAGTGGGTCGAAAATTCTGA